TCTGCAGTCCTTGACACGTCGCTGAAAATTCCACACTGTAGCTTTAACAGAAATAATAAGAAAGCTTGTTAAAACCAGTGAGAAGATAATTTGTGCTATGTAGAACAGTGCTGATCTCATTATTTAGATGTTAAGTGTGCTGATGAGGGCAGTGGTTTAGCTGCAACTTCAGTTCCCCTTTATTCCTGCATCTGTTCCAGGTATGAGGGCAGACTGAGGACGTCTCATCAGTCATCAACACTTGGATTAATCTGCCGGACATTCAATGATGGGGGACGATCCAAACACACACGGGTTCTGTTTACACAAATCGGTCTAACAGTCCGTTCTACCTCCTCAAAGGGACTTATTTCATTTATTTATCTAGTCATTTATTCATTGACACCCACCCAATGATTTCTTGGTGGTTGGGTAATGATCTTTACTATTTATTTCACCACACAGTCAACATAGACTCCCATTTTATCTCTATTCTTATTAGGACATTGTATAGCTCTATTTTATAGGATAAAGTCAAGTCCAATGTGGGTTCAAAGCATTACAGGGTTAGTCAATAGCTTTAGTTCCCATCAAAAACGTTGGTGTTTAGGGTTCCTGTAAGATTTTAAGACTTTTACATTATGAGTGAAATATTTTTTCTCTTGAAAAATATGAAAGTATATAATCAGACTTATATAACGAACAGTGGTGTCAAAAGTACACACATTTGTTACTTAAGTAGAAGTATAGATACTGTAGTTTAAAAACACTCTGGTAAAAGTTGAAGTACGAACTTGACCTCTTTATAAAAACAAAGTACTACAAAGTAACCTTTAAAAAAACAGCCAGATGCCACTATATGAATTCAAAGCTCAATTTTTCCACTATTTCTAAAATTCTTTGAGATAGGGCCAAGGATGAGGGAGGTCTTGTTGGTCTCCATCTCCCGATACGCTCTCGCCCGTGTCTGTCCTTTCAGACATTTTAACATCTTTTTCTGAATCCAACATTGTAGCATGGCATAGACAATTTACGTTTACAGTTTGAAGAACACCTGCTTGCTTCTGATGATTTCCTTTAGCTAACCAATGAGTGTTTGCGTTATACAACTCATCCAATTACATTAGTTTTCACTAGATGTGGATGGCACCAATGATCTGCATTGGATGGCGCACATAACGTGAAAAAAATATAAACATTAAACCGAAGCCAAGAGTAATGAGTAACGTTTGTTTTAAATATGTAAGGAATAGAAAGTACAGATACTTGTGTGAAAATGTAATGAGTAGAAGTAGGAAGAAAGATTAGATACCTAAAAAGTGTACCGGTACTTAAGTACAGTAACTAAGTATTTGTACTTCGTTACTTGACACAGAAATGTATAAAAACTTAATGGAGAGGCCTAATGTATCAGAAAAGATACAAAACTTAAAACTTTGCACAGATGTATATTTTTCTTTTTCAAATCTATCTCTAACTATCTGTCTGTCTGTCTGTCTATACATAGATATATTCTGGTTGACACGGTTAAAGCTAAATCATTAGAAGAGAAAAACTTAGTGTATCTACCAAGGGCACATTAATTACAAAATAGGGCATAAGTCTGAATACACTGTATTAAAAATATTTGTAAATTAATTGTTAATTAACAATAATGACATTTCTTTTTGTTTACACTTGTGTGTACAAAATGACAAAATAAAATCTCTCTAAGTCATTACAGCAGTAACTGTAGGGCATTTTAGAATCCTTTGGAGGATCATATGGATTAACCCCTTCACAGATCTTTAGAAGACTCAACAGTGGAGCTAAAATCCTCCTTAGATGTTGTTTTCTGGACCCGCTCTAATAAGTAGCTAATTTAGCTGTAACTAAATATCTAAATAATCAGTCACCAGTAGACGAGTCCAGGCATGTTAGGCTTGTCAGCATCATTTACACATAGAGCACACATCTGTAACTATGGAGGTGAAGCAACTAAAGGTCTGAAGTCAAGGCCACTTGAGTTGAAATGTATGAATGCCTCTGTTGAGGAAAGCTCTGTTTACACCTTGAAGCTTTCTCTCTTCACTTCTTTTCCTGGGAACAAATCACTCGGGACTAACTTTCTGTCAAAATTTTACTGAAGACTCCCTGTTGTTTAACAAACTTCTGAAGAGGATGATCACTGTTGTCCAGAATTTTCTTCAGGTTTAGCCTTTTTTAAGTCATTAGGTCTTGTTGTGGCCATTTTTGCTAATGTTTGTAGTTTCTACCTATTTAGTTTTCTTCTTTGGAATATAGAATATACTTAATTTAGTACCAAAATTTGTAAATCATTTCTTATATTTTAACAATGTAATTATATACAATTACATTGTTAATTGTTAGACTCTCCCACTAATTTCAGTAATTAAGAACGCACCGGGTGCTGGGTGGAGGTGGATTGTTTGGTAAATGTCTGGTGTGGACAGGAGGTTTTGTAAAGGATTTTTTGACCACTTTTTTAGAGCTTCAAACATTAATTTGATATAATTTTTCATTTCGACTAAGTTTCAATACTTTTTAGTAATTATATTGTCTCTGCTTTTACAATGAATCAGTCAAGTCGGAACTGCGTAAAAATCCAAAAACCATCTGTTACCACCGATGGTCTTAGTTGGAAATGTTGGGCTTTTTGGAACAGAAGGCCACGACATGCTCTAATACGGTTACTCCAGCAGATGATGGCATAAGAGATGCCTCTCTCCACAACAGACCTATAGAAGATATGTAGCATCTTGCTGCAAACACAGAAGGACCTACGCTTCCTTAGGAAGAACAATTTGCTCTATTCCGTCTTGTAGATGGCTTCACAGTTGAGTCAAGATGGTAAATGAGTTTGTTTTTTCAGGTGTGCTTCAAGGTATTTATTCTCCTCAACCACTTCCAGTTCTTCTCCCATGCTATTAACAGTATTCAATTACTTCCTGTTTCTTCTGAAATCTACAATCATCTCCCTTGCTTTGTTGACATTCAGGATCAGATGATTTTTTCCCACACCATGCACCTAATGACTGCAGAGTAATCTGAGTATTTCTGCAGATGACAGGACTCTGTCAGATACTGTAAGTCAGACAAGTACAGAGTAAAGGATAAATTATGCTTCTGATGCATAGCCTCTGCAATCGTCAAATCTGTCTCTGTGTGTGACCACGCCCCCCGCGCAGAGGTTCTGCAACCGTCATCCCGCACCTAAAAAAAATCCTGACTTTGCGTCAGACATTTGCAAACCCGAGCAGACCTCAAGCGGATGTGCGCAGATATAAAGCAGCTGTAATTGGTCCTTGGTATGCCTTTCCCGGCTGTCTGTGTCGTTGTACTTCTCGATTCGGTGCCGGGGTGCGCCATTTTTAAAAACTGAGGAAAAACTACAATGGACAACTACAACGAAAGGTTAATCAGTCTTTTTGCAACCTTCATTAACAGAATCTGTTCCTCTTCAATGTCTAGCAACTCTAGATCCATCTCCATGACATCTTGCAGACGCACTATTGTTGTTTTCGAAGATAAGCAGTCCAGCCGGCGCCGCAGAAGTTCTTGCGAGTTCTCGAATAGGCTCCCCCCTGTGCTTTGGCGGGAAACTGCTGTGCGTCCCTAGAAATTCCAGACCGACAGTGCAAAAGCATACCAGCAAAACTGGTCCTCGACCAGATCCAAGCAACATTTGATTTGTGCTGTTGCAGAAGTATAATCTGCCCTTTAAAGTAGGTTTAAGGTAGCCTCCAAAAGAGTCTTGTGACGTTTCTCACAAAGTCAGTCAGCCTGAATTGTGTAAAATGCAATGGAGAAATTAAAGAACATGATCCTCATTGTGCTGTCTGCCTTGTCTAAATGACAGTGGGTTTGTTGAAGCAGAAGTATGATGGCATCTTCAATTCCAACTCCACGGTAATAAGCAAATTACAGGGGGTGCTGATAACTGCTTGTTTGTTTTCTGAGGTGAACCAACAGAAGTCTTTCTAGAACCTTCATGATGTGGGATGTCAGGGCAACAGGTCTATAGTCACTGAGGACTATTGGCTGAGTGTTCTCTGGCACTGGAACAACGCAGGAGGTCTTCCACATCACTGGAAATGTCTCCATGGCCAGGTTAAGGTTGAATATGTGTGGTAGTATCCCACAGAGCTGGTGATTAAAATCACCAGTTACTGCCACAAATGCATTTGGCTGTTCTGTTTAGTAACAACAAACTGATTACCTTGCATGCAGTGTCCGCAATGGCAGAAGATGGAATGTAAATGGTTACCAAAAGCACACCAGTAACTCTCTGGGCAAATAATATGGTCAAAAACCAACTGCCAACAGTTCACTATCTTTGCTGCAGTGTAGAATCTTCTCAGGAACATGTCCTGGATGACACTATCTGTTGTTCACAAGCACTGCCAACCCACGTCCATTTAGTTTTCCAGTCTTCTTTAAATCCCTGTCAGCTTGTAGAAAGCCTGGCAGATAAACAATGGAGTCCGAGATATGATCCTGCAGCCATGTTTTAGTGTCTGTAGAAATCCCTCCAGTTGTACAGTATTCAACAACAGACAAAAAAATAACATCAGAAAAAAGAATCTCTGATCTAAAAATGGACGAACTTAAGTTCTTTTTCACAACAATGTCAGAGACAAACTTGCAGAGCTAATCCAACGTGCAGCCACCTTAAGCAGCGAAAATTCTAGAATTGAAAGAAAGTTGGTGTTGAATTTAATCAGGATTGTTAAATGGTGGCAGATAATAATAAACTGTAGAAAAACAAACATTACTCTAACAATAAGTGATAATGTTACACCCCCTTAATTTTAAAGGCAGATCCAGTTCATAAATTGTATATCAGTTTCTTTCTCTTTTTGCAAAAATTAGGAACTAAGAGACAAATTAAACAAATAACTTTTGTTTACAAATTTGACACATCTTTTCAGAAACTCTATAAAATAGGTTATATATTAACAGTATTGACATCAAGGCAACAGCTGTTATGAATATTACTGTCTTTTTGATAACTCCAGAAAAATGTTTGTTTTTTAAATCTACTAAATCCAGTCGCAAATTATGTTGGAATACAATTGGGTTATTTGAAACAAATTAAGAAAGATTAAAGGTCTTATTAGCATTAGGGCGACAGATCAACCACTGACACAGTTTAGAAGGTCGAGTCATTGTTGAAAGCTCGTCACGTGCAGAGAGACCAACGCTCAGCGTAGCGTGCACACAATGTTCCGGCAGTCATGGATCCATCTTCATGTGCAACCTGCATTATTGATTGATTTTCCAAGCCATTTTCTTTCATCTCCATTCCGTTCAGATTCAGTCTAATCTTAACTTTCTGACTGAAGAAGGAAGTCACCTTTTTCAATCAGCCAACATCTTCTCTTTAAAATCAAACTGGTGCAATAATCAAATGCATGATGCTAACAGCAGAAAATTATGTAAATATATGTCTTTGAATTTACTTTATAATAAAAAAGATTCTCTGGTGATCTTTAGAGACTACCTATCTGTACATGTTTACTGACAGCCTGGTCCTTGATAATGTAGCAGTATTGTGTAACATCAGCTTGTTTTCATGTCTGATATAGTATCAGAGCTTAGTGGTTCATATCACTCCAGAGGTAACTGGAGTGGGTGATATATCCACCTGAGTGGGTTCAATCCGTCCTCATAGGACAAGCGCCTCCCTGCAGCACACACATAGGTTTACACACACAACTAAAAAAAAACACAATATCATGTGACAGAGGGTGAATTATTCAGCACCAGATTCCTCCACATCTTTGCATCTAAATATTGATGATCCATAGACCTTCACCTGTGACCGGATTGATTTCTAAAGGATTTATGCTACATCATATAACATGCATCTGGCACGTCCAGGTGTGTGAGATCCAAAGACCTTTATATGTAGGCAATCATAAATATTGAACAGGTATGTAGGTCAATTTGCTCTTTAAGCCAATGGCAGCTCTGTGAAAATGTTTCAAATGATCCAAACTCCAACACAATTTAATTAGAAATAACAATTTTACTGTAACCAAACTTTAACTATGAAGATTTAAGGACAGTTTTTACTCAATTGTTTAAAATCAGTTGACTAATTTTTAATAAAGTATTTTGAAAGTATTTTTGCTGCTAAAGTTTTATTTGCACCAGATACCAGATCTGGGAATGGGGTATTTTTAAATGACCAATGTGGTTTGTAAGTGGCTAACTCACTAAGTTTAACAAGTGATTTATTTGTCATTATGCAATTTTAAGAACACATAACAAGCAAGAATGTGTTTCTTTAAGCATACAGAGGAGCAGTTTCTTCTTTTTAGATATATCTATCCCTGTCTCCTCTTCATCAGCCAGTCTACATGCTAACCAACTGTTGTAATGGCCAACTGATGGTGATATATCTTTACTTCATTCATTTCTACTTCAGATTTTCGCCAAAGCATCAGGACATAAGATATAGAGCACATCCCATGCTATGTCGCCATGGTCAGTGAGTTGCTCACCTGGCTGCCTTTTCAGCAGTTGGCCATGCAGCTATTAATATCACAATTGATAACCCTACATCTTTGGCACTTACTCCAAAATGTTGCATTTTCAGAAGAGTTCTGCACATGTCTGGGACTGATCTGAGGAAATAAAAAACATCCTTGAAGTGTAAATAAACACTGGCTGTGTTGTTGAGTATTAAAGGCTTGTGGGCCATATTTAACTTTGAGGTGAGGTTAGTGAGAAATGTCCAACTTTTCAAGTCAGAGATTCAGTTTTTCATTAAATCAGAGTTTTTCAGTCTTCTCAACACAAATGTTGAGAAGACTGAAGTACTTTAACATTCAGTCAAACAAATAAAAACACAGGGAAGGTTGAGTTATGAAAGATATTCAAGATATTGTGATATCTAAACCTGTTAAGAGCCATTCTAATGCAGCAGGGATGAAACTGGAAACTAACAGGGATCAATCTAAATCCCATCTAATTCCTATTATCTAATGAGTGTAAATGGTTGTTGAGTGGAGTCCATATTTTCTACCTGCGTGTGTATATTCTCTTCAGTTTCTATTAGAGGAAAGTAGACAAGTTAAATATTTAATTCTGAGTTGTATGTTTATACGTATGAGTGTGTGTGTATGTGAATGCTTGTCTTGTTTTTTCTGTGTTAGCTATACGTATATCTGATTGGCAGCTCAGCCACTGATCGCTGCAGATAAGCACTAATCCCTGAACAGCGATTATAGAAAATGTATGATAGGGTAAATCACTACTCCATTCTGAAAGCAGATGTTTAGATGACATTACATTCTTTATTTTAAGTATATCATTTACTCTCTTGACATCAGAGGTTGTGTATAGGAAAAAAGTTTGAAACAAAATCTGAACAGCGATCTGGTAACATTTTAGATGTTCAAATGTTTCCCGTGACATAAACCAAAGTCTTTTAAAGGCCGTTTTCAGCAGCTGAGGCATGAGGTGAAGTATTTTTGGCACTGCAAATAAAGATAAAAAAAATAAACAATGTTTGTCTGAGTGTGGCATGAATAGAACAGTGTATCTAGGACTTACTGTAGCTTTAAGGCTGTACAGTTCTGTAGCTGCCATTTATGGTTGTTCATTGAAATTTTATCTGGTTCCTATTTCTACACAGTTTTCTTGTATTAATTACTTCTCTGACTTCCACCAGCCATTCTTGAACTTTTCATTAACCTTTTTATTGATGCTCCCATTCATGTCAGTAGTCCATACTATGCAGCTGGTTCTTCCTGTCAGCTTTCCCCTGCAGGGCATCAGGGAGCAGCGGCAGGTTCAGGTCTGCCACCCGCCGCTGAGGAGATGAACGTAACTGAACAGAGTTCCTCTTGTCTCCGTCGATGCCTTCTCTTGGCCCCTCGCTTCCTCTTTCTCCAATGATCTCTTTTCTCCTTCCCCTCTCCTGTCTGATGCTCTTCATGATTAAAGGATGTTGTTTTTGTGAAGACAGAACTGGTGGTTTTGACCCATTTACCAGAAGTCTAGGAGGTCCAGGTCGACTCAAACCTGCCCATGTCACCTTCCTTCCTCGGCCATCTTTAAGCCCGAAGTTGCTCAGGCGAGGCAGGCGAGCGGAGGGGGACATCTGTGATGCCTGGGTGGAACTCAGCTGCCCTCTGTCTGCTGAGAGTAAGGCTCCAGCCTCCAGGATAATTCTGGAAGAGATGTCGTTTTTCTCATAGGAGTAAAAAGTCTGCAGCTTTTCCAGTCTTTCATTGATGCTAAGGTGATGGGAGTTCTCCTGGTGGTATTTGTCCTGGAAGCAGTCTGACCCAGAGTCTGCGGCTCCGTCCGACTGAGTTGTCCTGAGTGGGTGTGTGTGTTGGGCTGGTCTGGACGCGATGCCATCTTGGATTGGCTCGGCCGGTAGGGGAACTTGGCAAGGAGCGGAGTCACAGAGCTGTGATGTTGAGCTTTTCGGAGGGCAAAGATGGACCAGTTCCCTGTCTCCAAACACTGACACTAAAACACAGACATATGGCCACTGAGGGTTTGTCTCATAGAGATATTCATAAATGTTTTTGCCATGTTGGTTTCATTCAGGATATTATTGTTATCTTCTTTAATAATCTGACAAAGAGAATTTCATCCAGGAGGTTGCATGTCAGTGACTGGATGCAATTAAAAGGTTTTCAAACATAAAGGCAAAAGAAAATCTGAAAACCATAGAGTGCATTCAGATTCTGCATCTAATACCATCTTTAGAATTAAGATATAATTTCTTGATTTCATTTTTCTCAATTGTAAATTGTTTTCCTGTCCCTGATAAAAAAAAAAAGAAATCCCCACAGCATGATGCTTACACCACTGAGCTTTAAGGCGGTGGACAGTGTCCTACCGTTGAGTAAGATACACATAGTATTATTTAACACAATGACCAGAATGTTTTGTGGCGTTTTTGCTTTTGTCCCTGAATTCTAAGTGCAACTTGTTGCCTTCATTTCTTTCTAGGAATATCAGAGAAACACCTTTTTAAATTTTAAAATGCAATGTTGACAACCATGTATCATATTCCTGCCAATTCAGGATAATCCAGAATAACAAATCTTAATCTTAATCTTACAAAGTTTAAAAAAGTTTCATTAATCTGAATACATGTTCAAGGTACTGTAAAAAATAGAGCTCCTCACCTTCAGGAAACAGGTTCTCTCTGGTGTTCACAGAGATGGTTACCTCTTCATCAGTCGTCCCATCCTCTGTGGACAGAGGGTCAGGTGAAAGGAATGGGGAGGGAAGGTGTGAGGGTAAAGGGGGGGAGGCAGAGTGAGGAAGGTGAGGCAAAGTAGGAGATGGTGGGCGGTTCTCATCATCCTCAAGGTGAGCCTTCCTCTGCAACTCTGTGGTCTTCCTTCTGTTCTGACTCTTGCTCGTCTGCTGGACCTTTAACAATTTGTTGGACTGCTTCAAGCTTTTCTCACTCTTTGGTGGGTTCTGTACACAGAAAGTAAGAAGATAAACAAATGACAGCACAAGTAAATGCAATGAGATGGTGTTAATTGTGTGACTTTCCTTCCCTGAGACTGACACTCTATAGCTTAAACTTTATAGTCCCACTTTAGCCTAAACAAAAAGCTAAAAGCCAGAATTAGTTACTGCATTTGAACAATCTTTCTAACAAAGTAGGCAACAATACGCATCTTCATACTGATCTTTAAATTATCAAGAGGAAAGACAATATGGACTTTTTAACGACTACTGAAGAAAATGTTGCTTGGATACTCTGACATAGCCTGGGTGCCATTCCGAACTTAATCCCGCCCACAAAGTTTGAGGTCGGGAAGTTCGGTCTGGCTCTGCTCCATAGTAGCGCGAGTATTATCGCCCACTGTCAGGCAATCCAATCAAATTGTCAGGGCGGGCTTTAACGATGATGGACAGATGACCAACAGTAACGTAATCAACCACGTGACCAATGCACGCTTGGGTGACAACAACAATGGCTGCCGCTGGAGAGTTTAGGTGAGTAGATTCTGCTATTAGGTCTGTTCAAGAAGATATCGACAGCAAATTAATTTTAAAAGAGGAACAGAGAAACGCGATCAAGTCTCATCTTCTTATTCTAGGCGTGTAACTGCACGCTTTGATTTTTGTGGACAACAACTATGCCTGGCTTAACATACGTCACGCACTCCGTTGCTCTTATTGGTTGTAGGTCTATCCAATTGAGTGCAGAGGCATTTTTTTTCCTGGTTCGTTTGAAACACGCCCCATAATCACAGCTCTATGGAGCAGTATCAGACTCATATTCTGACTAGAATTGAGTCGGACTACGTCAGGCTAACTCTGACATCCCACAGGTACAGCTTTCACATAACTTTCACCTGATGCTGAGTCTTTGCTTCAGTGTTGCGTCTGTATCTCCAGGTAGTCTTGCTTGAAGGAGTCCAGTCGTTTTTCTGCAGCTTCTGTAAAAAGCCAATAGAGTAGCTAATATATCCACTATTTTAAAATGAACATGACATGAGGTATATATAGGTGGTCTAAAGTCACTGACCCAAAATTTATCAGAAAAATAATTCTCTTCTATCATGTGGTTTCCCAAGCTTTTATCTTTACCCCCATCCCTCAGGAGTGCTCTCCCAACCCTGGTCCTCAGGTTCTGCTGCCCTGCTTCAGCACTTGTCATTGAAATGACTCGGTTACCTCTTCAGCATGCCATTAACTTCTGTATAACCCTGTTACTGACCTACTTAGTTAGATCAGGTGTGTCTCAATCTACAACATGCATGACAAAAGGCTCTGAAGACTAAGAATGGATATTAAAGCTTCAACAATGCCACAGTTTTCACTCTGCCATAGTTAAAATTAACCATAAAAACAGCAAAGCAGCAAAACCATTTATCGTACTATCCAAGTTCGTCAAATCAGAATATTTAACAAAATAATACATCACATCCCATAACCCGCCAGTGTTTATGAGTCTATTCCTCCATAAATTTTCTAAACCAGTTAACCATTCAGAGGAGCCTAACTTGAGAGATCCAGCCTCATTGTGATCCTGGTCAGAAAACACCCTACAGAGAACAACTTGTTCTTTTAAACTTGCTGTTTCTCCTTTAAACATGAAATAATAGATTCTGATAAAACAGTTGATAGCAGCATATATGCATACATCCCCCTGTGCTGCCATGTTCATCTTGCTTTGGCTGGTCTAGGCTCCTTCACCATATAAATATAATACTACATTGAGATTGGTCAACCCAGGAGCGGAAGCAGTACAAGTAAAATTCCTGTGTTTTTGTCACAAATAACATGAGATTTCTGTTGGAAGGCAATGCTAAATAGGTGGGGAACGTCTTGCATCTTAGAATCTAATTCATCATTTGCAGCATTTTCTAGTGGTCTGCCTTCATCTATGTAACTATCAGTGTCACTCTGCAAAGAACTGTGCTCTAACTGGACGGATTATCTAAACACTCTTGATATTCCATATTTTATTGTAACTTTAATGTCATGCTGTTATCAATATGCTTAGAAGTAACAAGCCAGTTTTGAGAAAGTAAGGAGTAGAAAGTGTAGATATGTGTGTTCAAAGGAAGTGACTAAAAGTAAAAAGTGGTCAGAAATGTAAATAATCAGGTAGAGTACTGATATATTACTGATAGTTATTTGGCACCAAATAACTAAGTATGCTGTTCAACCCTTTTCCAAACTAACAGCCAGATCTGCGATTAAATTAAGCTGCTCCATTCTACTTTCCTCTGCTGAGATGGTTGTCTGCTGCTACTAAATTGGGTAATGTTCCTAAACTGGCTCTCCTTTGTCCTTTCTTGAGGACAGATAGCTAATAAAACAATCGGGGCATCAAACCCACCATTCTTAAGACTTTCATTCTACCAATTATTGAAGTTTATGTTTGATCATTCTCCTTCTGCCTTTTAAAAGTGATAAAGTGTTGCAACTGATTGTTTTATTAAAAGTAACAGAATTATATTTTTCTTAACTTAACCATAAGCTAACACAACCTTCCTCACAGAGAATGAATTGGTCCTGATAAAAATGCTTTGGAGGTATAACACTATCTTACCGGAGATAGTGGAGAGGGTGGGTCTTTAAAATAATTAAGGAAAATCCTCCCTTGTAACTTTCGATATATTCACACCTGTGTGTTTTTGTGTCAAGTATTAACCTTGCCAGCCTTGGCTCCTCTGTGGCTTCGGCTGAACTTGTTAAGCAGCAGATGATAGGAAGCCATGATGGCTGACGGTCTGTTGGTGGTGACCATGTTTATGACTTCAGAGAGGGAATACCCCAGAGTCTCTGTCATGTAAGCCAGCACAGATGAGTTAAGATCTTCTTGGCATAACCTGGGAAACAAGACAGGACAGGATTGAAAGCCATTCTAAAAATATATAAAAGACAACTTCTAGGATGTTGGTTGAGTATAGACCAGAACTGGAACAGCTGAGCTCCATACATGACTGCGTTTCCACATTGCACAGTGATAAAAGAGTCTTGGTCGTGATGTAATAATTAAAGCAGTCACAATGCAGACCACAAAATAGTTTTTTTATTTTCTCAAAACACAGATGCAGCTCTTATTGGCCATTTACATTAACTAAAAGCTTGTGGCATTAGAGCTTGTGGCCTTTTGGTTTAATCCCCATTCAGATTTAGATTTGGTCCTATTTAAAAGTGAAATACAACTGTATCATTGTGTTGCAATATGGTTTAGGTAAAATCTAAGGAGCATTGAATTTGTCCTGTATGTCTACCTGTTTTTATGTGAGACAGTGTGTAAAGGTTTCCTGGCAAATCCTTCGCTGATCCATCTCTCTCCCATTGCATCTCTGACACTGGGTCTTTTATCTGGGTCTGGCTCCAGGAGAAGCATCATGAATGACACAGCATCTGCAGCATGAGTGAATTTAAAACAGAACATTTGTTTAATTCAATATCATGAACTCTACTGTAAGGAAATCCCTCTTTCATTATCTGGATGAGTAGCAGCAGGAAAAAATAACAGAAGTAAAAGTAGGTCTAATGCTTAGAGTGAATTCCTAGGCACTGGGACAGCAGTGATTTGGTCTTTTCACATTAAACACAGAATTGAGTTGACCTGTGTTACAAAATGAGTAAAAAAAAAAAAGAAAAAACAGACAGCACTGATAATAACTCTAAGGAGACTCTAGGGATGTTGTTTACTTAGTCAAGTCCAATAGATAAAAGTCAAACAAAGTCCCTAATATGCAGGCAGGGCTTTTTTTTTTTTTAAAGGTAGACTGCATGACCCAGGCAGTGCTTTTTCAGAATGTCCAGGTTACTTTTCATGTACTATAAAGAACATGCAAGATATCTCCTTAGAATTTTATTTAAACTCAAAAGTTTAAATAAACTTCTTGAGATGTGTTATTGACACTAACTACATACTTTATAGAACTTAACAGGTATTTTACAGATCATAAAGATTTATGAATCTTTGGGGCAGTGTTGGCCTAGAGGTTAGAGCAGTGCCCTTTTGCCCTAAGAAGGTTGCAAGTACATGGTTAGAACCCCACTGCCTCCACTCTGGGTTCCTGAGAACAGTGTTGGGAAAGTTCTCTTTCTACGTGAACTAGTTAAAAGTTCAGTTCACACATTTTAAAATGAACTAGTTCAGTTCATAGATCATAATTCAAAATTTTGAACTAAGTTCACTGTTTTTTTTTTATATATTGCTCAATTACATCATAGCCTACTGTAGAACCACAGACAGCAATTATTTTATCAGTTGTAACACTGAAACTGTGCGTCAGATTTCATCTTCATATCCAGTTTTGAATCCTTATCTAACCAGGATTTACATTAGCATTGAGGGGACAGCATTTCCCCATTGTTGCTTTAACGCTTTGTTGCTGTCCATTCACTTCACACTAGTAGCAGCTGCAGCTTTCACCCCTAGTATATTCTCAAAAACATCAGGAAAAATGTGCTGCTTGAATGGTCTTTTTTATGAGGAATTATTAAAAGGAAAACAGGAAAGTAGTCTTTAAGGTGATCAAAATGAATCAAACATAAATCACAATGAGTTCAATTCAAGAATTATCACGGTCATAGTTAAAGGCAAAATATGAACATCACTGTGCATAAAGCTGTCTCCATCTCTCATCAAGCTAGTTAATCAATCAGAGTCTCACATGGTCTCCTCCAAATCATTTTAGAAAGTGATTAGATTCTGACCTTTGCTGATGTCATCAGGGATGTTGGTAATGTCCTTATTCACCATCTTCTGATGCAACTGCTTGATGTTAAAAGGTTCAACAGTGAAGGGTAGGGTCCCTGTCAGCATGGCAAACATGCTCACACCTCTGTACAAAAACAATGTGAGAGATAATATAAGCATTTATGTGATAGATAAGGAAAAATTAGCTCACTTCTAACTTACATGGACCAGACATCCACTTTGGATCCATACTTCTTATGAGCCAACAGTTCAGGGGCAGCATATGCAGGGCTTCCACACTGCGTGCTAAGGAGCTCCTGAGGTAAAGAGTCTGGCTTCAGGGTGTTGCTAAGGCCAAAGTCTGGGGGAATCATCATTTAGACATCAAGGTCTAATTACAGCACTCTGAGATGGAAAAAAACTGATATAGTTTGACTTCTGGACTTGGTTTGAACATGGATAGCCTGGTTACCAAGGTAACATACCTACGATTTTAATGTTGTTATGCTCATCCAGGAGGAAGTTCTCTATCTTTAAATCTCTGCAAAATAAAAACACTCATTTGTTAATTAGATACTGTAGTTTTGGACCTTTGTCAATACATTAGGTGGGTGTTTCATTCATCCCTATTGCCATCCGACTTTACAGTGCGGCACTATAACTGCAATAATTGCAATAACTAACGTTCAATCACCATTTAATAGCTTTTTAATACCCAGTGCAATTGCCCTGTGCAACAATCCTGTTAAATACGAGACTTCAGCTGTATATATATATATATATATATATATATATATATATATATATATATATATATATATACATATATATGTATTAGTGTTGCACTGATACTGCAACCAGTATCGGGTGGGGCCCCTATACTGCACCAAAATGGTGGTATCAGTATCGGCGGATTCCGACAAATAGGCCATTGATACCATTTTATTAATAATACTCCATTCCTATATTTTATATTCTAAGAGCAGATGAGAAATTGGAATCTGCCCAAAGTAGTATCAGCAGGTTAAATGATGGGGACCGGAAATTGCCATATAACTCTGATCAGTTTAATTAATTTTTCAGTTTTTTATAATTTGTGGTAAAGCTGCCAGTTTAAGAGTTCTTGCTAAATTTGTCTAACCTTACTAAGCTTTATTTGTGTATTTACTGTTAATGTAATGAGTTGGGACTGGAGCGCACAGGACCAGGGGTAGCAGCAAAAAGAAAGCCAGGATGCATGACTGGGGTTTGGGTAGAATTGAACACTTAAGTGTATTTCTACTTTTCCACATTGAGAAATTACTTTGCCCAAACCACTTAAAAACCTCCAACCATCATGAATTTTGAATCAAATTGACCATCTGCTGTTTTTGGGGTTTTACATTTTTACCTGTCAGCAGAGAGAACAGTCTCTGCATTTACTTGACATCAGTTACAGTACTCCCCTCTTTGTACCCCAGCTTCATCGCCATCAGGCGAGGCTTCAAGCTATAAAACTACTGGCTAAATGAAAATCTGTGGTTAGGAGTGAGAGAGTCCCTATAAACTGTAGCCTGGGAATCTGCCATGTTTCTTTCATCTGCCTTCATCTAAGCAGCAGACATTCAAAACTCCAAAAATCCCTCTTTAAGCAGCTCGGGGGAGGTTCAAAGAGAATTGGAGGAAGAAAGAAATAAGGGAAAACCAGCAAAGAGGCAGAAAGAGCACAAAATATGGTAAAGCAAAAAATGTATGCGGTTGAATGTGGGTGGCAGGAGGTGTGTTTAGGAGTGATCATCTCTGCACAGCACTGCGATGGAGAATGTGTGTGAGGGAGCTGTAAATGTGTGTGGATGCGTGGGTGGGTTTGACAGGGAGAGGTGCTGTTCAGGAGTTGAAAGCGATGTCGTTCGGGGACTTCATTAGAGAGGAAGTCCATGATGTTGTGATGATGTGTGAATCATGGCGCCGGCACAGGATGATGAGGTCACTGCCTGGTAATCACATTCCCACTTTGAGAAGAGCCAAGGTCCCACACTGAAGCAAAAGACTATGCATACGGTAATATTTCTGGTTACAGTTCTGTTTGTGTGGATATGAACGTGTGAAAGTAAAAGTCATCTGACACCAACACATACTTGCCCTTCTCTGAAGGCTGTTAATGCCCTGCAAACTACCTCAGAATGTGTTTTTGTGTTTGCTGACAGGTTTTGCTATATTCCTCCACTGGTGATTAGGCATGGATTTTCTCTATTTTAAACTTAAAAAAAGTCCACAGTTTCCTTAATACGGCGTAGTTTAACCATATAGATATACATTAACAGATAAGTCTTTTACTTCTTCCTTCCTGAAATGATTGAGGTATGTTTGTCATGACTACTGTTCTATCATTCACTCAGAAATAAAGACACATCATCCAAAGATTATAAAGAAACAACGTAGTGGGTGCCTCAGAATGGGAGCTTAATCAGGTTTAGGTCCAGACTTTGACTAGACCAACCTAAAACCTTACATTCTCTTTAAGCATTTTGTTTTGCTATTAATCTAGAAGGTTGCCACAGATCTATCAATGGCAGAATGCTCTTCTACTCTTCTTTTCTGCCTCAATTTCCCCATTTTCTGCCAGGCAGAAGTCAGGCAGTTTGTGTTTCTCTTGTGTAGGTAGTGACCTGTGCACGATGCCGTGTTTGTGCAGGTGGTCCACTGCAGACAGAATCTGTCGGGTGTAGCGCCGCACCTCCCTCTCCTCCAGCCTTTTACTGTCACAGATCCGGTCCATCAGGTCTCCTCCTGCACACAGCTCCATGACCATGTAGTAACTGTTCTCCGTCTCCAGGGTCTGACATACAGAGTTATGCAGCAGGTTAATGTTTAAACACTTACCATCAGAATGTGTTGTGTCTGTAACTATTTTATCTTTACCTCTAGAAGAACTACAATATGTGGATGTCGGACCATTTGATGAATGCGAGGTTCCCTTTTCATGTTTTTCAGCACATAGGAGTCTTGGCGGGCTTTTTTCTTGTCTATCACCTTAATGGCCACCTACACCCACATGGAAACATATAAACCAGTCACTAATCGAGGCAGGTATGGAGAAGCATCTCATTCCAAATTAAACAAACATATTTTGTTAATACATTTTTGATAAATATTCTATTCAATAAAAATATAGAAATAAAAATCTATTTATTTACATTGAGCTGTATATTGGGAACGGTTATGTTGTTAATCATTAAGTTTGTATTTTCAATATTAAAACCCCATTTAACATTGTCTGGATTCCAATCTTTTGCTCTGTTTTTTATTGTTTATTAATCTCTTCAACGACTCCAGCAATTGAAATGAAGTGAGTGACCATTTTTAGCATGTTTTTTAAAAATATTTTAATATATTCTCTAGCTCTAAATCAAAATAAAACACCCCAAAAAAAGTTTAATTTTAGTCAAACAGCTTTCCTCAGTTAGAGGGCAACATGCAAATAAGCCATATATCATCTGACACAATTATATATGTGTTTAACTCAGTAGTAACAGCTAGAGATTGGAAACAAAGTGTGGGAAATCACTAGGGATGTCATGATCTTAGGTCTGATTACTCATTTCATTCAGCTGCCTATCTCCACCCAGTTCTCATTATTGTTCATCTTATCCAACTGCTTTAACCTCTATTTAACCAGCCTTCAGACCAGGCATCAGTGCCACATTATTTGAGCATTTGGGGAGAAGTTCTCTAGCGTGTCTGATTGTTTCTGATTACCTAATCCTGAGCTGTTCTGCCTCTGGACCTCTAAGCTTGCCTGTTCCCTGACCCTTGCCGGATTATTGCCTGTCTGTTTACTGAACTTGGAACTGTTTCACGACTATTATACTTCTGGATTTCCCTTTGGAAGCTCTTTAGACCTCTGATCTCCTGGCTCTGACTACCTAGCACATCCTCGACACTGGTTTTGCCCTCTTTAGATGCTGATGCTGCTTACCTGCAGATCCATCTTTAATAAACTTTTCACCTTGAATACTGGGTCTTATTGTTCTGAGCCTGACAAGGGAGGGTGTATCAGCTAATGAGGAGAACTGGCTGAGAGCCCAGCTATGAGCCCAAACAGCGCCAAATAACACTGCAGCTGTTTGGAAAGTCAGTGATGTCCTGATAAACTAAGCAGATATTGAGTATTACAAAGAGTAATATATTCATTTGTATTTAAATTTTTTTCCAGCGCCATCCACTATTGCTTGACCAATATTCCAAATTAATCATGAGATAGAGTAGAAAGGGAGTTCCAATCTCCAGGGTGACTGCACTCTATGATTGCACTGCTGCAATCCCTGGCAGTCCGACAGAGAAAACTCCAATTAATAAACAAAGCTGTTACAGAAAAAAAGTATCTACGGTACAATAAAGCAACCTCAAAACTTTCTCAAAATCAAATACCATTATGAAATAAAAAAATAAAAAATGTGATGTTGATAAATTAATAAATGAATTAATAAATGAAAAAAGGAGCTTTTTTTATTTGTTTTATGTGGACATTTGCTACCGTAATTTAATGGAGTATTTATTGATTAACAATTGATAACAATGTTTGTCTTTTTATTTAATTTTGAATGAACCAGCTCTCTTTATGTGAAGTAAAGGTTATTGTTTCCAACATAATGACCAGAGAATAGATCTAAAAAAAAAAAAAAAAAGACAATCGTTCAGCTTTAGGTTCTTAGATTTTCGATGATTGGTAGATTCTTAACTTTAAAATAAACCTGATCCACCATTAGCTACGTTTACATGGACACAACTAATCGGATTGAAGGCCTGATCAGATCAAAAATGTTTCATGTAAACATGTCAGACTGAAGATTCTAATCCGATTCGGTCCGATCGGATCTAAATTTAATTCCGAATAAGAGAGGTGGTTTTTGCCGATCGCCATTCCGATTGGCGTCCATGTAAACACCCATTCGGATCTTAAGAGTAAAATAATCTTCACTGCGCATGTGTGCGACATCAGCGTGACGTTTTTCCGCCTTGTCAACAACAGGAAACCACCGGTCGCTCTCGCTCTCGCTGTGAACAACATGGCGGGGGGAGTCTAGGAACGCCGACTTATACACTCAAGTTCATTTAAAGCTGCAGGAAGCAGGAATTTATCCTCTTCCTCTTTTCTCTCTCCACAGCCCACTCGCTCTCCCACGCCGGTTCAATCGCTCATTCTCTACATTTTCTCTCGTACATTTCGCTGCCAAGCGCTTTTTTCCTCCTCTCTCCTTTTTTCTTTCCGCTCGCTCCGAGCGCATCGTTTGTCAGGCCTCCCAAAAACCAGACGCAGACAGAACTGCCAAGTTTGGCAGGAAGTTCTGCGCATGCTTAAAAGATTTAATCTGATCCAACGCTTGGTACATGTATACACACGTCATGATCGGATCATTTCATTTAGTGTCCATGTAAACGGAGATTTTGAATTTCCGATCAACCAAGGTTTGGATCGGATCGGGGAAATTTTGCGCATGTAAACGTAGCTAATTGTCATCTACCTCTGCAATGGCCCCTGTCAGTGTTCAAAACCTTTTTCTATTAACTTGAGAGCACTATATCTGTACTTTGAGCAAGTAGGCCTATTATCTTTTTCATGGGTGCGTTTCATTTTTTTCCAACAAAATAAAATTGAAACACTGAAGCTGTATTGTGAGCTTATAAAAACCCTGAAGGTCACAATCGAATTTGACACTTCAGGCTTTTTAAAGATCTTTGATTGTCAAGAAAACTGCAATTGGTCCACCTCCAATTAAAAAACATTTCTGGAACCTTTTAGGTCATTCTCATAAACACATTTCAGAGTAGTTATTCAAATAGAAAATAGAAAAAAATCTGTAAAACATTTACTGGTTATGAACTTATTAAGAGCCACAGGTCCATAGAGCTGCTTATGGCTCCGGAGCGACAGGTTGCAGACCCCCCTGCTCTATAGTGAGTCACATTTACCATCAGCTGAATGGATAAATCTAAATATGAAATGCTTGCTTTCTAAATTTAATTACAGTACCTCTTTAAATGTGTACAAACTGTTTCATGACTGTGTCAACCTAAAGGAGATAACTTCCCTTTGCAACAACCTTGTAAATTAGACAAGCAGGTTAGTTGCTCCTGTTTAGTGGATGCAGATATTATGCAGTTTTTTGAGGATATCAGAACATATCAGTTTCATATGTTATAGAAAGATGTTCCCCTAGGCCACTACAAGCTTTTTCTTTACACATAATCATATAATAAAGCCAAGTACTGGTTTTGTTTTAAACCTATTTGCAGTGTACTGTAAGGCATCATTTGTGTTATGAGGACCTTAAGAGATAAACACCATAGTGAAAACGAAATTTGAAAAATAACCAATACAGAAAATGTTTTATACATGTTTTAAATATTTTACAACCTGTTATCAAATTTCTGTTTGCGACCACAACTTTATATAAATCTAAGAAGAAACCAGCCACTGCCTCCCTTTTCCCCCTTTCTTTCCCCCAAACTTTAGAGGACTTTGCTCGAACTGTGTTTGCGGTATCGGTCATTAGAACAGTTGACGTTATTGCCTTTTGAATACAGCCTTTGCTCACCTGTGGCGCTGGCTCGTTCTGCCGTATTATGTTTTTGCCTATTTCAGTCAAGTGGCAGTGATGACGACGGTGGCGGATGACGCTTTAATGGTGCGACACAACAAAAGTCGATTTTTATTGATTTAATCGATTCGTTGTTGCAGGCCTAGTTGAAAGCATAACTGGAGTGCAGGAACAGCATCCGCACGTGAGTGTCCTTCTCCTCCAGGTGTGCCAGGCTCAGGTGGAGAGCAGCAGAGATGGCGTCCTCAGAGATGGTGAACTGGAACGGCAGACTGGCGGCATTGGCGGCAGACTGGAGACGATGTGTTCTTTTACCAGCCTTTAGAAGCACTTCATCATGATTGGAGTCAGTGCGACAGGCCGGTAATCATTGAGTGAGGTGACCTGAGGCTTCTTTGGGACTGGAATAATGGTGGCAGACTTGAAGCATGCTGGCACTATGGATTGATCCAGCAAGGTGTTAAAAATGTCTGTGAGAACACCAGCCAGCTGATCTGCACACTCCTTATACACTCGCCCAGGTATGTTATGAGGCCCTGGGGCCTTCCTTGGGTTGACTCTCCTCAGAGTTTTCTAACTTCAGCTACGTCCAGGTTTAGTGCCTCCTCCCCCTGGTGTGGAACAGCTTTCACTGCTGGAGGCTGTTTAGTGCCTCAAACCTTCCTTTTTCAGTTCCTTTAGGACAGGGGTGTCAGGGTGGTTCCGGAAGGGGCCGTGTGGCTGCGGGTTTTCTTTCCGGCCTAGCAGTGGCGCACCAGACTCCAGTCATCTAATCAAAGGAGTCCAATCTGAACATGATGACTTGATGGGATGACTGGAGTCTGGTGTGCTGTGATTGGTTGGAGGGAGGGCCTGCGGCCGCACGGCCCTTTCTGGAACCAGTTTGACTGACGCCTGTGCTTTAGGATGTCAGTGTTTGCTGCATCTACTGGGGGGAGGGTGTGTAGTCTATGATCATCCGAATGCCTTTCCACATCCTCCGTGCTTTTAGAGATTTTCAAATCTCTCCATTTGTCCAGGGTGGTTGGTTGGCCCGGGTGGTGATGTTCTTTTTGATGCTGATGTCCTAAATGCATTTGTTGATGTAGGCTGACACAGTCATAGTAAACTCATCAATATTTAATAGTTATCATATGTTACTGCAGCCTTGAAGATGTTCCAGTCAGAGCATTTAAAGCGATCTTGGAGTGTCTCCATGGCGCCCTCATACCACCATTTTAGTGCTGGATCGGGGCCTCGCCTGATACTGGCATCATTGTAACACTAATTATTATCCCATCATCCATCTTAACATTTTAGAATAGATGCACAAAACTTCAACTAATTTAGTATCGCTGTTAAATTTAGCATAAATGAAGTTGCTTTTGTTTGTTTGTTTGTTTCTCAGTATCTTTCAAACAGACTAGAAAAGCGGGAACACATGTTCGGTAAAATTTTTGATTT